TAGCATTCCATAAGCTCATGTCTGCTGCTTATGGCTTTTATTGAAACTCAGTATTTCTCAATGTGGTAGCAAACCACCTGTATGCATATCAATTAGTGAATTACAGCAAAGTATACATAGGTAATCATTCAAGAACCCGATAAATATTTCAAGAAAATTGGTGAAAGTTTCTTGTCTGTTACGCCAATTTTAAACTTCCTTTCACAGTGTGCTTTTAAGGAGATTCCTTCTGATCTGTGTGTTGTTCTGGTGCCAGAACTTTTCAAATCTGCCACTTTCCTACAGAAAGTCTGTTACCAAGCCAGTTCCTCACCTTGACGGTCGAGCTGGTTGTGAAGTCTTGTTGCACTTTGTATCAAGAAATGTTGTGGTTGATATTCAGCATCTCTGCAGCAGAACTACTGTGATCTATTGGGAGCTCACATCCGTGGCCAGGGAGCAGATCCAGCTCTGCAGAGCAGCCTTGCAATTACAGTGGGAGCTCCAAGCTGCAGCCAGCAAATGACTTTCCTAGCTCTTGAGAGCTTGGGGTAGAAGATGCCTTTCCTAACAACTCCAGCAAAAGATCCCTTGTGCTTGGCTTCTGTGCAGGGTATTTAACACTCAGGTTTCAGTCTTAATTGTCATGTTCACGAGGAAAACTCCCGCTAGTATTTCTGTGCCTTCAGCATATAAATAAAAATGCCTGCCAATGCTTTAATCTTTCTCTGTGGAATGCAGTCTCTCAGCACTATCAAATGGTTTTCTGCATCACTCCATGACCAAACTATTAAATTATGATGGAAAAAGAAAACCTAGATGCATTGGAATACATTTGGATTTTTATTTTTACAGAGAATATGAAATAAGAAAAATCTTAATATAATTGAAATTTGACTTAAACATCTCATAATGAGAGAAATCAAAGTCTTGTTTCTCCAAATCATATTTGTTTACTTACAATCTTTTTACCATATAATTTATTTGGGAAAGTACATCTTTTGTACCACAGAAAAACCAAAAACCATAGTGGCAGTGTGGCAGGGGCAATACTTTTTCGAAAAGATGATTTTTTCAGTTTCTTCATTTCCATTTATATTTGTAGTATAAGTTGTTCTAAGAGGTTTGTTTATGTATATATATAAAATATATATTTTATGTATATGCAATATATTTATATATATATATGTATATACATATATTTGTCATAATTAGAGGTTGCATTAAATCGTTAACTAAATGGTTGGTTAGAATTTTGCCCATGTTCTCTTGCTGTGATGGTATTTTTTGCATAGATGTCTATTTTCTTAACTTTGAATGGGATAAGGATAGCATGAGGCTTATCAGGTCTTTAGTTACATCTGACTATAGATATCCATATACCAGTTCTAACTAAAACACCAGCACAAAAATGCATTGAAATTTTTTATCAGCACAAGTTTGATTTCCAGTCGGATTCAGAGATTATGGGGTTTTCACTCTGACTGCTCCATTAAATTGAGCAACCCGTTGACCACAGTAGTTGTATGTCCTCTGATAAATTGCTCCAGAAGATGCAACTTGATGCAATAAGATCTCCAGAATGACCATTCCTGTAGTCTCTCTGAATCCTTCATGTGATCTCTGTTAAACTACTACTCAGACTCAAAATTAATCTTCTAACTGGAATTAACTGAATACTTTCAATACCAGTTTCTGCTCAGTTTTAAACTTAAAATGTGATTGCAAGATACTTTTTCATTGTATTTCCATTGATTATATGTAAGGGTGAAAAACCTCAACCTGCAAAAAGACTTCTTCAGTCTGGTGTAGTCTGTTTTATCTTTCTACAAGTTTTGCAATACAACCAAAAGTGATCTGAAAATGGGGACACAAAATGCTTAATCTGAATGCCCTACAGCTTTAAAAGCAAGAAGGAGATAAGATATGAATGAAAGTGATTAAGATGTGTTCAACACTGATCAGTTCTTTATTTCATACTGTCGCCCTGAAAACTCAGCTTCTGAGCTTGCTAACATAGTTTTCTAAGGACTTTCCCAGGACAGTAACTGTAAACATAGATATGTGTACATTCTTTCTGTTACACGTCTTGTGATGGGCATCTCTCATGGCCAGTGCAGTGAGAAAGTGTTATCCTGACCATACAATCCCTGGCCGTGGTCACAAGCCTATAAATCCTGGGAGGAAAAATAAACTCTCCTTTTCACCACACCTCGACCTGTGTCCGTGTGATCTATTCATCTTCAGCAGTAACATCATACCTCTCACAGTACTACATTAGGGGTCACTGGTTGGAGACAGAAACTACAGAAAACTCCTGAGGGTCCTCAACAAACAGTGTGTTTTATTGTCCGGAACCTTCTTGTCCAATGCATTCAAAACTCCCAGGTCTAAACAACTGATTAGTCAAAGTTTTAGCACCACCCAGCTCTCTGACCAGTGATACATCTGCTTTCTAGAGTGAACATAATTAGCTGAAGTCCCTGCTTGGGTTGAAATCCAACCCGTCTTTACCCCATCTAAAGACTTGTTTTACTTCTAAGCTAGTTGAGTTTAGGGGTCCGATATAGCCAAATTTATTTGGCAGCTACAGGCAAGCTGCAACACATCTTGTGACATCACAAGAGTCAGTCTATGGATGGTAAACAGTGGAGTTGGAGTGTTGTGTTGTTGGATGAGTCCCAGTTTCTGTCATCAGCCACTGGTGAGTCCTGTCCCTTACCTTCCTGTGGGCAGCTGATGACAATGCAGATCCTCCAAGGATCAGTCAAGGCACCTCTGAAGCTATTGCAGACTTGCTTCTTGTGCTCAGAAAGCCAGTTCAGTCTGGGCTTTCAGGGTAAGGTGTCATATGACCTCAGTAACCAGATCGTACGGTAGCCCTAAAGGGCCTGTCATGAATGCACACTTGGAAAATATGTTCAGAATGATGTGGTGAAAAGGTGGTTCTGTAATGGAAGGTGTATTAGGTAAAGGATTTATTTTATTGTCATTCTCCCTTGCAAAGTCAAGGCAATGGATCATCTTCTCAGACCCCACATAAATCTAGCTCCAGGTTATCCTCAGCAAAAACAGTGAGAAGTGAATTGCCAGTGCCTTTTCATAATTGCAAATTCTTTACAAGGAGGCATGCAGATGCCAACATCAGAATGTAGCAGACTGCACTGCTTGTAAGAATAAATTTTAATATGTCACTAAAAAACTTTTGGTTCATGTGGTTGGTAGTATTCAGTCTCACAGTTAGATAAAACTCATTGTTTTGTGGTGGAAGAAGATTATCTCACTCTTTAAAACTGTCAGGAGCAAAAACTTGGAAGAAAACATCAGTTTCTTCCATTACTAAGCAGTGCTTCTGCCTTGACTTAAATTTTGCTTGCTTCTGCCTTGACTTTAAATCATTTTAGGAGAAGGTGTAATAGTCATTTTAGCCTGATGATCCCATCATCCTCTTACTCTGAAGGTTTATTGGTCTTACCTAAGTAAGGTACTTATGTGGTCTCAGGTTTATTCCCTCCCTGTCAGGAACCCCATCCAAGGTATGATTTATCCCAGCTGATTCAGTAATAGAGGTAATTAATTTCACAGGTAAACACGAAAGTGTAAGTTGATTCCTGTTAATTACACTGCTCTGTCAAAGCATAGACTGCTAAGGAAAGCCTTGAGCAAGTAGTGTTCTTGCTGCTTATATTTATAAATGTCTGAGTCTGTGTTCCTAAGGCCTTCCTTCAGCATTTTCCTCCTTAAACACTCGGATTTTTTTAGGGTTTGTATTTGTAACCTATATACAATGATGATGATAATGATGATGATGGTAATAATTCTTCTCTTTTGGTTGAGAACTTTTATAGATGTAAAATCAAAACTCAATTCTGCCATTCAAAGTCAGATGTGGGTCCAGGCTGCTGTCCTTTTGGAAGGAGAGTGGGGAGGAGTAGGATTGGATTCTATTGAAGAGAATGCATGCTGGCAAGGGGATAGTCATGATGAAGCATGCTTCCTCTTCCAGCTACTCCTAGGAGGGTGCTGAGCTAAAATAAAGACTGGTTCTTCAGAACAGCAGATTGTCCTTCAGCTTCCCCAGCAATAAGAGCTGCCCAGCAGCAGCAGGCTCTTGGAACAGCACAAGTCACATGTGCTTTTCCAGCAAATACACAGACACATAAATATGGGAATGGAAAGCAGGGTTTCTTCTGCTCCTAGCAAGGCAACAATTTATTGACTTCTTTCTGTGTGGCACAATTGCAGTGACCTTGATCTTTGCAGATCTTTGAGAACTTTGGCTCTTGATTTCTAGTCTTTTTCTTTGGCATGTTATGAATTGCAACAGAAGGGATTTTGGTTTTTTTAAACTCCAGTAAATCTCCTTGTTAGTTGCACTATTAAGCTTACTGTTTCCATGTAAAAATCACAGTATTCTGTAACTTTGTATAGTTAAATATTTACAAAATATAGTATTATTTGCTGAAGTCTGGGAAAGTACTACTGTATCAGGTTGTGGAGGAAGCCTTTTTGGTTGTGGTTACCAACGAGCCTAGATAGTTACTTCCATTACAGTGAAGATCACAGGGCTGAGGTTTTGTTCTCTCAACATGTATCTATCAACAGTGAAAGTTTTAGTGTAAATCAGAACCTGTTGGCTGCTACTAGTTTTTATTAGTTTTACTTAAAAGGAAGATATCTGAAGACCAAGCCCTAAAAAATTCCTTGTAATACTCCTTCACTCCATATGTGCTTCACACCCTGTGGAGGCCTAAATCAGTTTTTAGGCAGATCTCTTGAGAAATTTCCAGCACTGCTGTGACTACGTGTTTTGTATTTAAAGCTGTATTCCCACTGCAAAAGTTTGCGGGTGTCATTCAGCCCCATCTACAATGTAGTCTGTTTTATTTTTGATAGAAACAGCTAAATTAAACACACCAATGCTGTGAAATATATTGGTTTGGATTTGGTTTCTTTAAACAAAAAAGCATTCAAACTTGTTCTGGAGAAGTGTTAATTGTTAGTCATTTTATTTTTTATAGGAGTTCTCTGGAATCTATCCTCCTGTGATGCACTGAAAATGCCAATCATCCAGGATGCCCTTGCAGTGTTGACCAATGCAGTGATCATTCCTCACTCTGGGTGGGAAAACTCTCCACTCCAGGATGATCATAAAATACAGCTCCATTCATCACAGGTGCTGCGCAATGCCACTGGGTGCCTAAGGTGAGTGCTTCAAAACCTTTGCTTTAGCTTAATTATCTTGCTTTTGTTTGAATTGGTATTTCTCATTCTTAGTCATCTATAAATGAAATAATTGGTTTGTCTGTCAGCAAAGATGATGACTTCCAGTGATGTAAATTTAAGCTGGAAATTAATTAGAATACAAGCTTCAGGTCATTAAAAAACAATCTTTAGAAGGGCTGTTGGAGTTTTCCTGTTTTATTTTCTGAGCTGCTTTCATCCAAGCTTATATATTACATATATTTTCTCCCTTGTAGATTTGTCCTGTTTCCCCAATTGCTTAAATAAAGTCAATATGTTCTCACAATTACATCCAACTTAATCAGTACAAAAAATAATAAAGATGTTCACAAAAAGTAACATGTCTTAAAGGTTCCAGATGCCATTACTGGAGTTGAGATAATGTGATAAATATATAAAGATTTTTTTATGTTCTGGGAAGATGAGAATTTTGATAAGAGACCAACCAGTTTAACATTTTTCAACCAAAAGACTTAAATAGATGCTTACCAAATATGATAACTATTTATGTTTGTGTTTCTATGCCAAATTTGTATATGCAATGCAAAAGTGCATTTATATAAATATGTGCAATTTGATCTGTCCATTCCTAAAAGTCACTGTAGATGTGAGAATGAAAGTAGAAGAAGAGTTTCAGTTCTGATAAAATCTTACTAAAGGATTGAGTCATAGCAATTTCTGAATTCCAGTGCATATAATTTTTGTGAAATGTTTTAAGATAATAGACAGGTTTGTTCAAGTGTAGATTTTTTTCTCCAGGTATATTGGAGAAAATAATCTGTAATCTATCCCAGAGACATAAAAGTAGATTAGTAAATAATTTTACATACAACACAGAAAGTAACATAGTGAATAGTATGTGTCAGTAAAGCAATCTATATTGTATGCTGCATCTAAAGCAGATATACATTAAAGAACTAAATGAAAAAGGAAATTGATAGGAGGCAAAGTAAAATAGCAGCATTTTTTACATATCTGTAGCAAGCACCTTTTTGTCTTTGTGCTTTTTCATAAAATGAAATGTCTTCCTTTCCAAAGTTATATTTGAAAAGTTTAAGGGAAAAAGCAATAAATATTATTGACAGTTTATATACAATCAAAAGAGGATGAAAGATAGAAGATAATAACTTCCATATTGCAGTATTGCAGTATTTGATTTGTGATTATCTGAATACCAGCTGTCTTGGGGTATGTGACTGAAGCCAGGTATTTCTGCCTGAGTTGTTTTTACTTTTTTTTAAAAGAGTTTATGGTATAATTGTGTTGCATTGCATTCAAATCACTACCAAAAAAAAGTTGCCATAATCACTAGGAGGTGACAGAAGGTGTTTACATGAAGACCTTTGCTACATTGAAAGTCTCACATTTCCAGTATTTAATGTGTCAGTTAAAGAGCTGCCTCTGGAAGAAACATCTGTTGCTAACTTGGGGCTTAGTGTCCCCTCTCTGAATGAGCATGTCCAGTGTTGATCCCCCCTCACCATAAGCTCCATCTTCCTGTTAATTTTTCTCAACTGCTTCTCAGGGACTGATGTTCATCCCTGATCCTGCAAACTTCAATTTTTCCTACTCTTACTTGATGGATTCATTGCACACTGGTCTTGAAATCTTTCTTGTTTCTTTTTTTTTTTCTTGTGAGTGTATGTGCACGCCCATTTGCAAACTGATGTGAGCTTACTGTAGCCTGCATTCTGGGTCAGCCTGAGGACTGGGGGCCACGTGAGAAGGGTACGTTGCCTGATCTAATACACACTGCTTTGCAGCAAGGCTTACTACCAAGCGCTTAATGGGATGCTGTCATAGCAGAATGGCTTCTGGTCAGCTCGTGCAAAATAAGCTCATATCTGCCTGCAAAAGACTGTGCATATTAGAAGTCCTGAATCCCTCCCAGGTAGCTGTAGCAGCAGCTCAAACTGCTGTCCTGAGCAGGTTGGTCTCCCTTCTAAACCCAGGCCCTTCAATCATAATACAGCTCATTAATATCTTTCTGATACCAAACCCTCACTATTTCTCAAATGCATCTTTTTATCCTCTCTAATGGCTTCAGATATTTTTTTGGCCTCCATCCATCTTTTTTAGATAGTTTCATCCCACTGGATGCTCTTTGGCAGAGCAAGAGTATTTGGAGAGGGTTGAAACTTGATTCTACTTCACACCGGCAGTAACTTTTCTTGATTACTTTTCCCCGGTCACTGTTGAAAATATTTCTCTCTATGCAAAATATCAAATTTGAGATTGTGCAAGAAAGAAAAGTGCAAGCTTACCCCTGAGATGGTAACTGGTTTCTTCTGTTGAGTTAATGTAATACAATGATGAGAAAATTCTGTGAAGGAGATTGGAGTCCTGCATGCTCTCTTCAGGTGAAATACCCACCACCCTAAATAAACTGAACAGCTTTCACAGTTTCCACTTGGGTTTAGCTACAAGCCCTGTATTTCCGTTTGAAGATCTCATTGGACGAGGGAGGTAAATTAAGAAGATGTAATGTGGTTGCTGGCTGAGGTTCTGCTGTGCTTATCTACTAAATGGAAAGTCCATTGTCATCTTCCATGGGAGAATTTCTTCTATGACTCTGGTTTGGTTGTCCTCTGCTCTTTTCTTTTTGTGCTTTTGCTAGGGCTCATTTTGAGGGGACACAGTTAAAATTCACTTGCATCAGTATTATCAGTGACTGCTCAGGATCAAAGGAAGAGTAGTGGTGTTCAGGATACTTGAAAAATTCTGAGATCTAATGTTGGCAGATTTTAGAGACATCAAGTTGTATTACATAGGTTTAATGTTAATAAATATGCCAGGAGGATTTGGGTTTGGGATTTTTTTCAGTCTTTGGTTGTCTGGTGTATTCACTGCTGAAAACTTTAAATAATATCTGAGATATTACATCTGAGAGCTGATGTAATATATCATTATATTATATAAAAATGGATATATAAAAATATCCATCCCATATACAACGCTATTAAGTAGTTTGCAATGGCCATTATACGGGAATAGTCAGATCTTTGTTTTGTGTTTTTATCACAACAGTACATTAATTATTCTTTCTGCTGATCTTTGCTTTTCTCAGTTTCTTGATGGGAATTTCTTATGATTTTTCAATTACAAAGTTGGTTATTACCTGCAATTTTTCATACTCATGTCTGCTTCTCATTATCTTTCTTAACCGCATTCTTAAGTCTGTAACTCCAGTCACCCAGTAATGCAGCTGAAATCACATAAAAAGTAGCAGCAATGTCAAACTTCTCCTCTTATTTTCTCTTTTCCTTAAAAACTATTCCTATTTGCAAACTGCACTTTGCATACTTTTCTGATTTGAAAAAAGAAAGTTGTTTTAATACAATAATGTACAAATTAATTTTACATAACTGAACACTTTGAAATTGTTTAGATATTTCAAAGCTCTAAATATGGCATTATGGCTGTCACTTACTAATTTAATCTAAATATTCATCTTCTCATAAATTGCCAGACCTCAGTGTGACATCTTGGACTAATCACCCAATTTAGTTGCCTCCCCACTGAGATACTAGTACTTTACCTCATTAAGCTCTGGTAGACTTCTTTTTTTCATTCTGTATTTTAGCTGTGACTCTTTTACTTGCATTTGGGAAATACTATATCCTTGATTTATAGTTTCTGATTCACTTAAACTTACTAGGGATAGTCAAGTGAAAACTGAATTTATAATCTCAGTTGTTGATGGGAGGGGGTTTACAACCCCAATCTGAAATTTAAAAATCAGCAGGAGAGAAATTTGATAATGTTTTCTTTACCTGAAACTTCAAGCTTACTTATTACAAAACTATAAATCCCTGTCCACAGATTTATTTGAAACAAACCACAGACAAAAATATTTTCAAGAATTTTTGCCTCATGTACAATCTGGAACCTTGTTTTTCTGTTATTTTAAAATTAATTTAATATAATATCATCTGAGAACTTGAAATAATTTTAAGACTAGAGTGTTTTAAAATTCTAGTGTGGCTTTAGACACAAAATTATAAAATGTTTTTTCTTTCTTCTGTGTTGTATTTAATCTTTAATCATACAATGAAAGTACAGGGGCAACTGTGATAATCAAAGACCTGTTAAATTATTTATCACACCTCATTAGTTGATTAGGAATTGTATGGGAGTATCATTCAAGTAGTTATTTATTTAGAAAGCCCCATATCTTTCCAATTTTCATACTTGATATTTTCTTACCTGTAAAACCTTTAATGCAATATCTTTAATTATTTTTCAACTGAATAAATATGTAACAAACTCTCAAAGTAGAAGAGCAAAGGGGAAAAGTGTTTTTAAAATATGACTTGAATAACTGACCCAGTAGTATTTTTTTGGATAGATCAACTTTTGGAAGGAAGAAGTTGCCTTGTTAAAACAATTTGTGTTAGTTGTGAAACCTGAATATCAAATGTTTTTAACTGGTTTGCGGGTGAGAGATGTATTTCATTGACATTTGCATCTAATGCTTTTGTCTCACTATCTTATTTCTCCTCAAGTTCTCGTCTATACATCCAAAGTCAATTGACTCCTTTTCTTAGGAAATTCTGTAGTCTGTTTTCAATAGAACATTCTACTGTATACTGACAAAATAAGACATGGGAACAGCATCAAATAAATGACACAGACTATATTATTCATCATCTGTTTCATTTACAGAGAAGCATATATGTAGACACATGTGTGTGAAACATGTTTGAGACTAAACTGATATATTTATATATGTGCATATGTGTAGATATGTTTATGTTGTATACATTCAGATATAGAAGGGATGATTATGGAAGCCATAATACCTTTCTGTCTTTCCAGACTGGTGCAAGCTTTGAATATCTGCTATTGAGTATAAATGGAGCTGGCTTCTTACAGTAGGACCAGGACTGTTGTTGCTGTGATTCTCCTCCTGTTAACAGAGCAGTCATGTTTTGTCCATCCCTGTAGTTGCTGTGGTGGAT